TGTAAATTTATGACTTTATTCTCGCCGTATTATGACTATTCTTGTAATGTTACGACTTTATTTTCGTGATGTTATAACTTTATTCTTGTAATTTTACGACTTTATTCTCGCCGTATTATGACTATTCTTGTAATGTTACGACTTTATTTTCGTGATGTTATGACTTTATTCTTGTAATTTTATGACTTTATTCTGGAAACAGAAGAAAAAACAAATCTTTTTAAATAAGTATTTTTTTAAAAATAGATTTTTTTTTTTATTCTGGGACAATATGGTCTGATAAAGAGTAGATTTCTATACATGTTTGAGCCAGAATGATTTTCCATTTAAAGATGACTTTAAAGTGAGTTTTGGTGAGCCCCCCTCCCCCTGCTGAAACTTCCTGGACGCGCCCCTGGAGTAACGTGTGTCCGTGCGTAAAGGCAGAGATGCTTGGTGGCCACGTCCCCTTGGAGACAGAGAGACAGACACGTGATGAGCTTTACTGATCAGGTTCAGAGGCAGAGAGACACACGGAGAGAGACAGGCCGGGGCACGGAGCCTGGAGCCCGGCCACCACTTCAGCCAACCTCCGGAGCACCACCGACACTTTGAGAGTTGACTTCGCCTTGTTTGTTTCCTCTGAGAGGAGGAGGAGGAGGAGAGGAGGAAGAGAAGCAGAGGAGGAGGAGAGAGGAGGAGGAGGAGAAGCCGGAGTAAAGTTTGTCCAAGTTTGCACATCCCTTCGGAAACGCCATTTTGATTCCTCTCCTCTTCGGAGCGACTTTGCAGCCTCTTCCTCCTTTCTTCTTCTTCTTCTTTTTGTTTTTTTTTTAACTTCATCTCCCCCCCACCAACCCCCCTCCTCGCTACCCACCCTCATCATCATCATCATCATCATCATCATCCTCCTCGCCACGATGTCTCGGCGCAAGCAGCCCAACCCCAACAAACTCCGCGGTAAGTCCTCCGACCTGATGCCCGTTTCTGAGCAACAAGTTCCGCCGCGGACTCAAAGTTTGTGAGCTCCGGGCAGCCGGAGGGGGAGCGGGGGGAGACTGGAGGAGGCGGAGGGGGAGGGAGGTTTTTTTCTCTCTCCTCTCCGCGTTGCTTCCTAGTTTGATGCGCATCCGAGCGGAGGAATTCAGCTCCTCTTCCGCCTCCTCCTCATCCACCCGCGGCTCATTTACAAAAAACTTTTTCATCTTTTTCACGCGCTTTAGCTCAACTTTTATCAGCCGTTTGCACTTTTTTTCCCTGGCGGTTATTTTCCGCCGCGCGGTGGGGGGGGTGGGGGGTGAAGCGGGGAGGAAGGTGATTACGGTGGGGGGGTCAAAGTCTGCTCTCTGCCGGAGGCGAGCATCCATATCTGGGTGCACTTTGGTCCGAGCCTCGCTGCTAGTGGCCATGTGTAAAGCTATCGGTCCCACACAGCGAGCTGAAAGCTAGCTAACGGCTAGCCGGCTCCCACTTCCTGTCAGCGCTTTCAAAATAAAACACCTGTTGAGCCTCATCACAGGAGGCTCTGTGCTGAGCTGCTGCTTAATGTCCCCAGCATAAAATCCAAAGGATTTTTTTGCTAATATATCATGTACATAATTATACAACTATATTTTCTGCTAGTTTTAGGAATTAAATGCAGTAGTGCGTGTTTATAAATTAATATATTTTTAATCAGTTTTGTTTTCAGCTTTGTTTACCTGATCTCTCCTTGATAAATCACACAGATTTATTATTAGAACAAATTCATATAAATAGGTTATTACTTTATCTATGATAGAGAAGCCTTTTTTCTAGACTGAAAAAAATGCCAATTAAGCATATTTGGTTACTTTAACTCAATCATTTAATGTAATACACTGCTAACATGTAACAATTAAGTAGCTAAATATTAAGTAAATGCCAAAATTATTTTTTTCAATGTGTTTCCGGACCTAAAGTCTTTTTTTAGTTGTTTTTTTTTTTATTAAAGTGTGCCTCTCTGATCACAATCAATTGCATCTCTGTTTTCTTAATAGGTTATCTGGTGTTATTAAAACTGTCAGAGGGGCGAATAAACATATTTAGGTTAATTTTTAGACTGATTAACAATATTTCTATAAGAAAACACAACAAAATTCTTCCTTTTATTTTGGGCTGTTTGTTTTTAAGTATATTGGATGTCTAACGTTTAAAAAGTTGTTGTAATTGTGGATGTTTTATCATATCTGTTGAGTTTCACCGGTGGATTGTTTGCGTTTTATTTTGAAATCGGAACTAGTCGCTTCCGGTTGTGTTTTGGCTAACTGTGTGTAGCTTGACGGAGTTGTTTGACCTTGCCCGGACATATTTGGCCCTAAATCCAGCCTGGTTCATTTATAAACCGCTCCGGTAGAGTCGGTGAAGCTCTGCCCGGTGCTTAGCGGCAGGTTTTGCGGGAGTTTAGTGACTTTTCTTCGTGTTTCTGCTACTTTTTTTTCCACCGCAGCAGCAGCATCGACGTGACGCCTGTTGCTGCATCCTCCTCCTCCTCCTCCTCCTCCTTTCTGTCTCTCCTCATCTCTCTCCGCTGTAACTTGACTTAAACCAGTTAAACCAGTTTAGTTTCCCACCCTGCGCCCATTTCAGAGCCGTTAGCTCCAGCCGTGGTGGAGGATGCTCTCCTCTAACTGGGCCAAAGAGTCCCTTATCGCTGAGCGGGTCAATGATTGACGGCCTGGGTTTGGGTTTGGCCCCCGGGGAGCCGCGGTGGTGTCTGAGGGCCGCACCGGTTAGATACTGGATTCAACCTGAGGAGGCTGCAGGAAACATGGAGGAAAAGTTCCCTTTAAACCTGCAGAGCTCAGATGCTCTGACTGCTTCTTTTTCATTAAGTTTAAAAAAACAAACAAACTCATGTTTTTAAGACAATAGTTTAAAATAAAACCTGCAGAGCTCAGATGCTCTGACTGCTTCTTTTTCATTAAGTTTAAAAAAACAAACAAACTCATGTTTTTAAGACAATAGTTTAAAATAAAACCTGCAGAGCCTCAGAATCAGGGGCGGATTTAAGAAA